ACGGAAAATCATTGTGTACTGAACGTGCCGTACCCATATCTTTATTCTTGATGTCCCTGCAGCAGTTTGTATATAATGAGAAAAAAAATCATTCCATAAAAATGAACACACAAGATACACAAGGTGTATCGGAAACGCAAAAGAGAAACACACAGCTGCACATAACGTGCACTGAAATTATAATGAAACACACACACAAGGGAAAAACAATATAATGAAAACAAACAAAATGAAAAGAAAGCTGTGACCACCAAGTGAATATCTTCAGGAGGCAAGAACACAATTCCCAGCAGTAGGTGTGTGTGTGTATGTCTTTCGTACAGGGCAACCAGCGGGAATGATGCACACATGATGACAGTCCACACACACACACACACACAAGGAGAAGGACGGTTGGTAGTGTGCGTGTTTGTGTGTCTTGAACCTCCTGCCATTCTTCACATTTCAGTCACAGTCATTAAAACATGTTGGGGAAATATCCCATTCCCACAGGTAAAAGCAATATAGTTATTAATATCACGGAACACACATATACACACTTCACCAGGCGGGCACAGTAAATGGCGGCAAAGCAGAGCCCAGACAATGCCAACAAAGAAAGAGGAGACTCCCTTACATAATAATGGTTTGTCGTCTGATAAGTGCCGTAGGGAGTCCAATAGATTCGTTCAGCAAAAAAGTGCAAATAAGAGATTTATCGAACTGGAAAAGAAAATAAGAGAAGGGCCAATATCCAAACAAGAAGAAAAGTGCCCTTGCAATGCATCCATATCCACTCAAAGAAAGGTTAACTGTGCAGTTGCACCACGGGAACAACGATCAGCAAACGAGAGTGCAGCCCAGCACACACATCGAAACAAGAAGCATCAATAAGGGACTGTGCACCAATGCAGGACTGCTGCTGCTGTCACTTAACTGAGAGATATTCAAATGGATTGAAACTGAAGAAGTATTAGTCGGTGTATTTTGTGATGGCGAAGTTCCAGAAGCAGATGAATCACTGGGTGTTGGAGTGTTGCTCTGAGAGCTATTATTATTCTCTTGTGTTTCAACTTTGCCTTCTTCATTTTGATTCTCAGAGCCCTGTTGATTCTGCTGCTGTTGGGCATTTGCATGGTTTCCCGTCTCAGTTTCTGTGGAATTGGTATTCTGGTCTTTTGTCTCCTTTTCGTTCTGTTTATTTGGATGTGAATCGTTCAACGCATTATTATTGTGTGGTGGTTTCTCACCTTCACTTGCTGTATCGGTTTCAGTTATTCTTCGTTTCTCCTCCTCAATTTCACGATCCAGATCTGTTTTCATCTGAGGGCGTCGTTCGAAAATATCATTAATGATTTTCTGAAGATCCGCTGCTGCAACGGAGGCATTTGCCGCCTGTTTCTTGGCCTCCTCCGCTAAACTGCGAGCACTTGTAGTGACCTCATTGACATGCTGAAGGAAAGTATCTACTTCCTTCGCTTTTTCCTTGCACTCTTCAGAAAATTGCTTTATTTTTTCCTTTTCCCCTGAGACACTCGTTTTATATTCTTTTTCAATGTAATCATTAGCAGTCCACTCAACATTCATTTTCGCCTGAAGCAAATGTTCTTCCCCCTGTTGAATTTCCTCCGTCAAATTATTTATTTTTTCAGCTGTCAAATTTGCCTTGTCAACGGCCTCAGTGATCTCTTTTGCTGCATCTACTGCCTTCCTTAACACCTCTTTCAATTCACTCTTCTTCTCATTCACATTTTCAGTTGGATTCATAGCACGGCTTGAAGTATCAATAAGAAGGTCTCTAACTTCATTGGCCGTCGTTGTTGCATTCTGAGCACGCTTCGACACTTCACTCCATTCTTCCTTTACGGTGTTTACTGACGCACGCAAAACCTCAACTTTTTTCTTCTCATCCTCCATCTTAGCTCTCAAAAAACTCAATTCCTGTTCGATACTCTTTTCCCTAGACTTTGTTGAGGTCGTATCATCTTGCGCATATGCCACACACGTACAGAAGTGCAGAAGTACCAACAGGTACACCACGCGGCGCAGTTGGACGAACATCGTTGTCATGATTATCACTGTGGGTTGCTTGGGTCTGTGGTAACAAGGAAGAAGAGGAAAAGGAGAAAAGAGACGCACATTTAACACACAAGGTAGAGGGCACCACACACACACACACACACACACAAACAAACACTCTACAAAACAAAACCATAAAGAGGAGAAACAACAGTGCACAGAACGCAATACCAGAATCATCGTGGGGTTTGATGACGATTGGCCCAGCACTAGGAATGCATATCTTGTTGTGCTCATACACCAACAGAATTAAAACACCGCAAAGAGAACTCTGGTATTGTCCATACAAAAGGACAGTGAACACAGCACACAGCAGAAACCACAAGCAATTACATCAGCCCCACCGCAACTACACTGCCTCACCTATCCCGCTGCTTTCATCTTGCCTCAGTGGGTATCCTGTGGAGCAGCATCGATTTATACAGCCGCCAAGGGACCTTTGTGTTTGAGGCGTGTCATCATCTATCTCTCTGTACGTGTGTGTGTATTTGATTCTTCCGCAGGCAAGTCCGCTGTTGGGGCAATGGGCGTGCCCCGCAACGGTGCTACCCGCGGTGGTGGTGTCTATCACACACACACACAGACATGCCGTGCTGCTGCAGTGGGCCGCCAATTAATGGACCGCGTACAGAACAGTACAGGAGGCGTGTCTGCATGTATATTTATATGTATATATTTATATACATATATATGTGTATATGTGGATAGAGGGAAGGAAAGAAGGGAGTCATATAGTGTGAGGGGGAGAAGTGTGGCATGTCAGTCCCGTGCGTACGGTAGGTAGCTTGGTGCACGGAGGTCTAAGTCACGTTGTGGTCATACAAATGCCTCGATGGTTCACATCACATGGCCACTCACTCACACAAACAGAGAAATAAATATATAAATAGATAGTTAGAGGAGGAGAGAGCAGCTGTTGTATCTTGAGCAGCACAGGTGCAGGCGGAGTGACAGTTGTAAACACAGCGACTGTGTTTTCGCTGACCGCATAGTCAGCGTTCAATTGTGGGGAGAAAAGTACGTTGGTTGATTATATTTATTTATGTGGTCTATGTAAATGTGTTTAACATGTGTATATTTAGTAGATAGTGGCATTCTACAGGACTACATGGAAAGCGACGCTGTAATGATTTAGATAATAACACCAGAATTCATGTAAATAATGAATATACTTGTGTAGGGTATTATTATTATTACCAGTGTTCTTTGTATAGTGGCAACCTATATTATTAGTTGTTGTTGTTATTGTGTGTGTGTGTAATTTTGAATTCATTGTGCATAGAAGAAAAAAAAAAAAACGAATACAAATAATATAAATTAGTTTATTACAAGCAATGTACACCATTTGGGGTTTCTTTCGGCGAACGAACGAATAAAAAAAAAAAAAAAAAAGTGAGGTATCACATTAACTCCAACCCAAGGAAACAGAAGACCTACTACAACAACAACCAATAAAAAAAAAAATGAAAGAAAGAAAGACACACGCTGAATTGTAAATATGGAAAAATTATTTTCTTCTTTTTTTTTCTCTCCTGATTAACGTGATATCATTTTCTATTTGCATCATATTTACACTATGGTGTATCACATCAACAAGCAAGAATGGAAGAAAAAAAAAAAAAAAAAGTGCACATAGTCAGGTAATAACTTGATATAATAAAAGTACTTGTCTCTCTTGTCAATTTTCTTTTTCTTTCTTTCTTTCTTTCTTCTCATGTAAATGTAGCTTTTCTAAAAGCTTCATTTTTTCATGATAATCAAATCAAAAAAACAAAAAAAAAAAAGAAAATTACAGCAAAAAAAAAAACAAAAGGAGAAAAAAAAACAGAAAAACAAAAATAAAAAAAAAAAACATTGGATCAATCCAGCTGTTTGTTCTGCATAAACTTGTTAATCATTACCAGGGACGCAGCTGGCTGATCCATTGGCACCATATGCCCCGCATTATATACCTGCACAAAACTGAAATGCAGCGGTGAGGCCTCTGTGGAAACCCGGCGAATTAATCCTGCGATGACGCCATCTTGTCGGTGGAAGGGCGAGTCGGCGGCTTTTCGGAATTCCTCCGCCCCACTCCACTGCAGTGCCATCGTCCAGTTCTTATTTCCCACCCAATTGCAGATAAAGTCCATATCCCCTGCGTAAATCATCACACGGACCCCATCATTCAAAAGGGCAGGAATAGTGTAATTGAAGTTTTTAAACCAATCAATTGCAAACATTTGGTTTACGTTCATATTACATGATTGCCATTCTTGAATATCCGAGCCAAGGGATTGTTGGACATCTTTTCGGTTCATAAACCGATTGGCAGCTTCAAAGTTGTAGCAAAGTGGTCCTTCACAGTTTTTGCGTATATCATAATTATTTAGACCAGTAGTACTGTAGAGACCAACAATGGGATTGCAGGTAAAACGTCCAGCAATGCATGCGGCTTCTTCCACAACAGTATCACCAGCGTTGCAAACTTCAATAAACTTTTGACATGTAGGGACCATAGATTGCATAAGTTTATAACTGGATTCTGAAACACATGGTTTACCAAGTTTCTCTTTACACCAATCCCACGCAACAGATGGATATGCGGCATATTGTGTGTATGGATCTGTGAGACCATTACCAACTGCAAGACCAGCAAGATGAATAGGCATTCCTTCACGTTTTTTATTACCTTCATTAATACGGTAGGCAGTTGCAGGAGCATAATGTCCACCATAGCTTTCACCAACAACAAAGAAATCATTATTCTGTAAATTTTTATGTTGATTAAAGAAGGCCTGTAAGAAATTATACATATCATCTGCTACTTCCTTTTCATTCTTATCGTAATCACTTTGATTGGCGTATGAAAATCCAACACCTGCTGGTTGATCAATATAAATTACATATGCATCATTATTCCATCCATATGTGTTATTGTAAATTTCTCCTGTTGTCTCATTCATCAAACATGGTCCATTCTCCACAAGTAATGCCAACATTGAACTGCATCCTGGTCCACCAGTCATCCATAATAATACAGGAGCATTGGGATTTTTATTTCGTGGTCCAAATGCCCAGTAAAAGTAATGTTTATCTCCATCCTTACCGGGAATATCAAAGTATCCACTCCATTGAGGTACATTGGGATCACAAGCCTTCCAGCCAGATCCGACTTCCCGCAGCATGGGCTTTGGAACGGCAAAGAGACCATTCGCCATACCCGAGAAGAATAGTAGTAATGTGCATATGAAGATTGTCGGGAATAGCGAAGGGATAAGGTTTTGGGACATGATGATAAGTGTAAATGGAATTAGAAGAAAAAAAAATGAAGTGTAGTAGATTTTTTCTTTTTTTTTTTTTACTTTAGCTTTAAGCTGTTTTCTATAAATTAAAAGGGTGGAAAAAGAAAAAAAAAAGAGAAAAGGGTAAGAGATATGAGGTAGAAAAAGAATACATATAATGTATACTATACATTATCCATGAAGGGAATGCATAGAAAGAAAGAAAAGAAAAAAAAAAAAGGATAACCAGATCACAGAGGAAACTGAAATATCGTTTTTTTTTTTGTTTTTGTTTTTTTTTTTTTTTTGTTTGTTTGTTTCGACTCTAACTTTGTGTATTGTGTTATTTCCACTCTTGTTTCCTCTCACCCCCTGCACATATAAACACACTCTTTTTTCTCAAATTGCATGTATCTTTAAATTTCTTCCCTGTTTCTTGTTGGATAACAAATACAATTCAAGGGAATGAAGAAAAAAAAAGAGGAAAGTGCAAAATAATGAGAAAAAGAAAACAGAAACAAAGAAAAAAAAAATGAAAATAGTGTAGTGATGCGTACACCGACACTTCTCTCTCTCTCTCTCCCACTCTTTCCCCGCATGGTTCCTCTCATTCTTAATGCAGATAGACACACATAGACAGAGATATAGAGAGAGAGAAGCACACACACACAGACACAGACACACAAATACGCGAACAATTAGAAAATAATAATTTCTTGTTTTTTTTTTTTTTTTAACTTTTTTTTTCTTCTTCTTCTTTCCTCATCCCACCAAAACTCACCCAAAGAAATCCATCATTGTATTAATATGGATAGTAGTGATGCATGTATGGTAAAGATGATTCTCATGTCAAATAGTTTTTTGTTTTTTCTTTTTCTTTTTTTTTTTTGTTTTTCGTTGTTGTTTTTTGTTTTTTTTTTTTTTTTTCGTTCTTGTTGTTATTGTAAGAGCTTCTTCCATTTCATTCCTTCAACATCCCAATTCAAATCTCTCTTTCTCTCTCTCTTTTCTTCCATTTCATTGTTTGTTTCCTTTTATATGTATATATATTTTCTTGTGTTTGTGTATGTGTATTTGCATTGGACCATACACCTCGTCTCAACCTTCATTCACATCCACATTACCCAAAAACAAACAAACAAACAAACAGAGAGAGATAAAGAGAGATAAAGAGAAATAAAGAGATAGAGAAACACCCTCTTAAGCACGAGTCATGATAATATCATCAATCTTCAGAATCATCATCACACACTCTGCTGCCAGCCGCACTGCAGATGTTGAGACCAACAATGGCTGCACCACATTCTCCTCCACCATATCCGTTACACATCCCTTACGCACATTCACACCGGCATTCTTATTTCCACTCGCGTGTGCATTTCGGAGTTCCGTCACAATAGAGATTGGCTGCAAACCCGCATTCTCTGCAAGTGTGTAGGGAATCACCTCAAAGGCATCTGCAAAGGCTCGCATGCAGAATGTCTGCGTTCCCTGTGCCCGCTCACGTGCATATCTGCTAAGCTGCAGACACACCTCCGTCTCTCCAGCCGCACCGCCAGGCATAATAGCCCGCTTCTTCACAATGGAGCGAATCACACAGAGAGAATCATGTAAGGCGCGTTCTGCCTCCTCCAACATCATACTGTTACTGCCGCGAAGGAAGAAGGTAACGGTTTTACCAAATAATTGACGGCTGATGGCATCTGATGGGGGTTGGACGCCAGTGACACGAATGATCTTTCCACTTGGGGTGTTTTCCTCCACCACGAGATCGGCGTGACCAAACTTCTCCGGTTTAAGATTTTCTATGTTCGCCACAGGGAGACAACCAAGGGTCTTTGTGATAAACTCAATATCGTTACGTTCAATATCCTTTACCACCATAATCTTCATCTTGGCAAGGAAGTCAAGACTCTGCATAGTGACAGCATCACGAAGGACAGATTTCTGTACCAATAAGACATTTACACCAGCATCCTTAATCTTTTTACAGAGGTTCAATAAATATTTACGTTCCTCCTTTAAGGCACGGTCCATTTGACTGTAATCAGAGATGGTCACAGCACTTTCCATATCTGTCTTTGGTGGAGAGAGTTGAAATTGAATAAGGGCTATCGTGGCGTTTTGAATACGCACGGGTCCACCTGCTACATGTGAGGCCTTTTGTTTAAACACCATACCGTTTGTAAGCAACACAGAATCATCTATGGTGCCACCAAGTGCAGAAATGATGCGCACATCACGTAAAACCACATCTCCATTATCACGCATAATTTGACGTACCGCATCCACTGCCATTGGAGCTAGTAAATCACTGTTTTGTGAAATAACTTTAGAATTTAATGATGTGATAGCAGCCTTAATAAGAGTCTCACGATCCTCAATCTTAATCTTAATGCTCATTTCCTCCAGAATCTTCTCAGCCATCTTTGCACACTCATTAAAACACTCAGAGATTTGTGTGGGGTGAATACCTTTATGTAAAAGTTCCTCCACAGCGCGGAGAAACGCACCGCAGAGAACCACAACACTTGTGGTGCCATCACCCGCCTCCACATCTTGAGCCTTGGAGAGTTCCACCAACATCTTTGCACATGGATGTGTTACCTGCAGCTTTGATAGAATAGTGGCACCATCATTACTGATGATAACTTCACCACGGGGCTCAATAATCATCTTATCCATACCACGTGGACCAAGAGAGGTACGCACACAGTCCGCCACCGCCTTTGCGGAGGTAATGTTGCTCAGTCGCACATCTGTCTGTGTGTTTGTGTCCTTCTTGTTTTCATTAATCTTCTTGACCTCCACCATTTTTTTTTTTTTTCTTTTCTTTCTTTCTTGTAGTTCTTGTTGTTTCTCTCCTTGGAGTTGATTGAATTATAGAGTTCTTCTCTTGTTTTTGTTTTCTTTCCTTCTTTTATATTTTCTTTAATCTGACGTTGTGTATTGTAATGATTCCTCACTCGTTCAAATTCCTTTAAAAAAAAATGTAACCTGCCTTTCTCTCTCTCTCACTCAGTCACTTTCTATACAAATTATAATTTGCAAGAAAGAAAATGCAGCAGCAGCAGCAGCAGCAAAGTGGGAAAAAAAAAAGAATAGAATAGAATAGAAAAAGAAAAAAAAAAACCTTTTATCCTCCTTTTCCTGCAGTAAGACTCATTCCATTCTTCTAATATATCCATTTTCCTTCACATCATAGTAAACACCAGCAAGACAATAACAGCAACACCGACGACAACAGAAAAAGAATAAAAAACAGTGACTTCTGTGAAACCACACACTCACACGGACTGTCCCATTTTTTTTTTCTCTCCCACTCTCTCTGTATTCTCTTCCCTTTTCTTTCTTCTTCTTGTAATTCATTTCTTTCTGTCTTTGTTTCTTTACTTTTTCTCCTCCTTCGCTCTTCTTCTTTATATCGGGTTCGTTCTTCCTTTTTTTCTTTCCCCCACTTCTTTTCGTTAGAAAGTGAGTGTCAATAGTGATAGTGATATCCTTCTCCTTCTCCTTCTCCTTCTTGGTCTTCTTCTCCTTTTTCTCATTCTTCTCTTCCCCTCTTTTAGAACTCAACAGAGAAGTATGGATGCTCCAATGCCTGCGCCGCCGTGATCCGCTCACTCGGCTCGTACTTTAAGAGTCGACGTAGTAAGTCTACACCCTCCTGCCCAAGCTTTACATATGCTGGTAGTGTATGAAACTGTGCATCACACTCTGCTAGAAGATTCTGCAGAAACTCAGGTTTAGACAACATATTGGTAGAGTTTGGGTAATGATTCATAGAGGGCCAAACTTGATTATTGGGAGTTCCAAGAAATCGAAAGATACGTAGTAACTGATCTGCGTCATTTTTACCAGCGAATAAAGGTGTACCAATAGCCATTTCTGCAAAGATACACCCTACAGACCAAATATCTACAGGAGTGCCGTATTGTGTAGATCCGAGCAGCACATCCGGAGAACGGTACCACAACGTCACAACCTCATGCGTAAATTTCTTTACTGGAATTCCAAACGCACGTCCCAATCCAAAATCTGCCAATTTGAGTTCTTTATCACGAGAAATAAGAAGATTTGGTGGTTTTAAATCACGATGTAAAACGTTACGTTCATGACAAAAACGTACCCCTTTAAGAAGGCTACGCATAAAGCTCTGAATAGTGGCTGCATCAAGATTGCCACTCTCCCTATCCATGTATTTCTTTAAATCAAGCTCCATGTACTCAAAAACAAGTGTCAGACGATTTTCACTATGACAGACATCCAACAATTTTACAATATTATCATGTCGAAGTTCCTTTAACAGCGAAATCTCACGAATGGCCGTACATGGCACTCCCTCTTCCTCTGTATCCAGGCGAATACGCTTTAATGCCACTGTGGCACCAGTAGTGGTATCACGTGCCTTGTACACCACACCGTACGTTCCCTCGCCAATCTTCTCCTGTCGTTCGTAGCGACTGTCCATGAATCACCAACTCTGATTCTTTTGTTTTTGTTATTGTTGTTGTTGTTTTTATATTGTCTACTTGACAAGAAAATGACGTCGGTCGTCACGTTTGTTTGTTTGTTTGTTTGTTGTTTTTGTTGTTATTGTTATTGTTATTTGTTTATTTGTTTGTTTTCTGTTATTCTTTGTGCACGCTCGTTGAGGTTTCTGCTGGTGCGAGTGTGATATATATCTCTCAATCACACAATAAGAGAGAAAGAGAGATGGGCGCACACAGAGAGAGCGAGGAACTAAGAAGTGACACAGATGTTTTCTCGTCGGGGAGGCCGAAAACAAAAATAACAATAACAACAATAATAATGATAATAATAATAATAAGGATGAAAAACAATAAATAGATGATTGAACAAAAAGTATGGAAAAATAAAAAACCTTTTCTTTCTCCCTTAAGTTACTTTAGGTGTGTGTGTGTGCTATTTCCCCCTCAGCACGCCAACCCTCCGGTAAAGAAACGTCTTTTCCTTTTCATGAAGGCATGTAAACAGGCGTACAAGGAGACACGGACCAATAAAGAAAAAAAAGAAAGAAAAATAAATAAATACAAAGTTTACATGTATAATAAAGTCTTAGCAAAGAGAAAAAGAAAACAATATATATATATCAGATAAACACAAGGACAAACGCAAGTGTCTCAATAAAGAATTTTTTTAATGTAAAAACGAACAAAAAAAAACAGAAAAACAGGGAAACCTTACGGGACCATATAAAGCCATGCTACTCTGAACTAAACACTAGGGCGTGTAAAGTACAGGTTTTCTAGTTACGTGGCTTCTCCTTCTTCTGGCGGTAGAGGGCATAGAGACCAACGCTGGAGACCTTCACAATCTTGAAACGAACTCCGGGAATATCACCGACGGCGTGTCCAGAACGTCCGAAACCAGACACCAGAACCTCGTCGTTCTCCTCAATGAAGTGCAGGCAACCGTCATTAGGGACGAAAGCGATGATCTTCTTGTCGTTCTTGATCAACTGCACACGAACGCACTTACGAATAGCGGAGTTAGGCTGTTTGGCTCCAACACCGATCTTCTCCAGTACAATGCCCTTTGCGTGTGAGGATCCACCGAAGGGGTTGGCCTTCTGTGCCACGAAGGTGTGGGACTTCTTCCAGCCCTTGTCTGCCCAGCGGTTCTTGCGGCGCAGGCGCACAAGCTTACGGGCTGCGTGTTGTCCGTTTGTCTTCGTCATGCTTCCCTAGGCTTCTCTATCCAGTTATAAGGATTTAAAGTATGGTTAAACAAAAAAAAAGAAAAAAAAAACAGAAGAAAAAACAAAACACATATTTTTTTTGTTCTAGCGGTAGCCTCAAGTTTATTATAGATATGAATACCTCTCCTCACCACCGCTTAGACAACGGAAAGGAGGGGAAGGGGAGTCATTGGTAATAATGGGTAACGGAATTTATTAGAATGCAGCATGTGCAAAATAGAAAAGAAACATAAAGAAAAATATTCTGGTGTGACGAGAAACACCATCACACGGCCTTCTCTCTTTCTCTCTCCAATAATAATTGGAACCATATCAAGCCATGCTACTCTGAACTGAACACGAGGGCGTGTAAAGTACAGGTTTTCTAGTTACGTGGCTTCTCCTTCTTCTGGCGGTAGAGGGCATAGAGACCAACGCTGGAGACCTTCACAATCTTGAAACGAACTCCGGGAATATCACCGACGGCGTGTCCAGAACGTCCGAAACCAGACACCAGAACCTCGTCGTTCTCCTCAATGAAGTGCAGGCAACCGTCATTAGGGACGAAAGCGATGATCTTCTTGTCGTTCTTGATCAACTGCACACGAACGCACTTACGAATAGCGGAGTTAGGCTGTTTGGCTCCAACACCGATCTTCTCCAGTACAATGCCCTTTGCGTGTGAGGATCCACCGAAGGGGTTGGCCTTCTGTGCCACGAAGGTGTGGGACTTCTTCCAGCCCTTGTCTGCCCAGCGGTTCTTGCGGCGCAGGCGCACAAGCTTACGGGCTGCGTGTTGTCCGTTTGTCTTCGTCATGGTTTACCTCTTAAGGAGACGGCGTCCTCGTCTTTCAATTATATTACAATATTCAAAATAAGAAAAAATAAATAATAATAAAGGAAAAGGAAAAAAAAAAGAAAGAAAGAGGAGTTCATAATTTATGATGTGTGAAGAGGCAGTAAATAGTAGTAATAGTAATTATAGTATCACCAACAGCAGCATCCTTCTGTGAAAGAGGGGTCACGAGAAGGACGTGCGGAAGAAGACACAAAATGGCAAGAAGACCGAAATGGTCTTCAGGGTATTTCAGAAATGAAAAAAAAAAAAATAAAATGAAACAAAAGAGAAAAAAAACGGCAATATCCGAAGGAAATGAAAAGCCATCCATAGACGATAGAGGGAAGGATAGGGAAGGGAAGAAAAACCAAAGCACTAACAAGACAATAAAAAAGATTAAGAGAACGTTAAATACAAATACATTAAAAAAAACGTATTTGAAACCTTCTCTTTTTTCTCTTTCTCTCTGTTTTTTTTTTTTTTTTTTTTTTTTTGTTTTCCTCTTCTCCCCTCCCACTCCCTCCCACTCTATACTCTGTCTATTGTTCTTTTCTTGTTTTCTTTTTCGTTCTCGCTTACTCCTCCTCCACAATGTTGGTCTTGGTCTGCACGTAGATACCATCCAAGAACTTACGGATATCCTTCTTCTTCACCAGGCAGAGCTGATGCATCACGGCGGCTTCACGCGAGACCTTCTCCAAGTCGTTGCCCTCCAGCACGAGTTCATCCTTCACAACAGAGGGATCTGTGCGGTACACCTTCACATCATTGGAGATGAACTGACGGCGCACACGCTTCTCACCCAAGAAGTTGCGAATCTCCACCGCCTGATCCTCCACAGAGACAGAGATGGGAAAGTGCGCATAGGCGAAGCGGACCTTGAAGCGGAATCCACGAGTCACTCCCGTCACCATATTGCGCACCAGTGAGAGTGCGGTGTTGATGGTGGAGTTGTTGATCTTGTTACCGAACCAGCGAACGGCGGTGAAGGTGCGGAACTTCTTGTTCACACGGAAGTCCAATTGGAGGTGACGGAGATCCTTTGTGAGTGTTCCGCGGCTGCCCTTTACAGTCACCACACGGTCCTTCACGGAGATCTCAACGCCTTCCGGGTACGTGATGCGCTCCTGTGTCTTTATCTTCATCCTTACTTATTTTGCACTACTGAAACTCAGTTGTGTATTTGTGGTTTGAGGTGTGTAGTTCTCTCGGGCGTATATATATGTATGTGCGTACACGTTATACGTAATGCGGTGTACGGGGCGGGAAGGTATTGTGGGTTAGCGAACGAAAAAAGAACACGGTTTGGTTGCCTTCTCCTTCGTCTATATACACAGATCCAAAGAGGAAGATATATATATATATATATATATAATGAGGTACAAAAGAAGAAAAAAGAAAAAAAAAGAAAGAAATATATATAAAAAGAAAAACAAGGCAATATAGAGAGAGAGACACACACATACAGAGCAAGATATCAAAAAGGAAAGGAACACTTTTTATCCTTTTTTTTTTCTTGGTGGTAAAATAATAAAACAATAAACAGAGAATGAATACAAGAAGAAGGGGGAAAAAAAAAATCAAACCAAACAAGAATGAGTCCTCGTGGTAATAATAATAGTAATAATAACAATAACAAGAACTCAGTAAATAAAATAGACTTCACACATTGTTTGTATTGAACAAGTATTCAACACAACATTGGTGGTAACAGATGCAACATGTACCTCTATTGTACAACTGTACTCTCTAAACCCATAACAATTTCTTCTCTATCTTACCTTCTTTTTTTTTTTTGTTTCTTTGATGATGTTTTTCTTTTCTTTTTTTTTGATTTGATTTGATTGGATTGGTTCTACTCTTTTTATTTTTTTTTTTTTTTTTTTTTCGTTAAGAAGAGGATAGAGGAGCGCAATACGCTTTCTCCAAGTCCTTCATCTTCACTCTTCAGTGACGACGGTTCCACACATATAGACACAGACAAATATATAAGCATACAAGAAAATGTCGTACAGATAAAATAATAATAATAATAATAATAATAATAATAATAATAATAATAATAATAATAAGGAAAAAAA